CCATAAATATTACTCCTTAATAAGTATATCAATTTTAATGAACTGTTTTATAAAATAATAATGAACCTACAAAGTATATTTAAAAACTAAATACTCATTATTTATTACTAATTTCCCACACATAAATGTACATAATATAAATATTTTTTATTAATTATTTATATTGGAGATATCTATTATCGACGTTGAATGTACATTCAGATCTAAATGTATGTGGTATTCAATTGTTTCGAAAAAGACAATAATGATGATGATTAGATGAATAATTATTTATTAGTAATTAAAAATTAAGAAAAAATAATGAATTTTTTTAAATATTTCATGTTTTTTAATTATGTTTTTAAACATTTTGTCAAATAGAAGAAAAATAATTGTTACTTCGTATTCATTTTCAAATTATGTGTACGCAGAATTTTTTCAGAATAAATGCTATTGTACAATCCATTTTTATTTTTAGAATGGTAAAAGAGGCTTTTCCGTATTTGCATAATAACGTTTAAATCAAAAACTACAACTCATTGGTCAGTTTTATATAAGGTAATTTTATTTTAGGTAACCTAACAGTAAACATATGAATCAAAATAATACTCGATTTTATATATACTGGTTAAGAACTAATATAAATATTTCAGAAATAAATCCTCATATGTAAGAATTTTTTTAAATTTCATAAGCCAACACAAATTCTAAGATTTCGTACCCGTAATTTTAAAACTCTTTTAATGCTTAAGTAAAACAAATTTAAGAACAAACGATTCAGAACTTAAAAGATTAAAACAATTAAATCGGATGAAAGTAAGTTACGAATACAAATAAACGTCAGATACTTAAAAAATATTGTTTAACAACGGTTTGAATGATATTATTCTGTAAATCTCTTAAATGATTTAATTATTAGGAACTAAAAATAAATAATGATAAGTTATCAAAAAACAAAGGAAACCCTGAATAACTGAAATCAAAAGTTGAAACCACTTTTTTTAATGTGAGAGAGAGAGAGTGAAATTATGTGTATGGCAGAATTTATATTAAAAAAAACCCATATCGTCATTTGAAAATAAAATACAAAATCACCAGTAAGTTATCACCACACGAGTCGGTTTACAACACGTACGATTATTTTTAAAAAGTGTCCTAACCACAAATACCCACTTGAGAGCATATAACAAATTAATGACCAAGACCTAATTACTAAGCAGTGTAAAAATATACGAAATTCATCGTTTAACTTGTTAATGTGTTAAAGTAAAATAAAATTCCGTATGTTAATTCGAATGATGCTGTTTTATTTTTTATCTCTAAGTTATTGCGTTTATCTTGAAAAAAAAATTTTAAGTGCACAATATATGTTTCTTAATGATATTTTTGAACTGCGTATACCCCACTCGACAACTCGAAAATCTTCTAAATCAAAAGAGAATTAATTTCAAATTCCATATATGGCACATAAAATAAGCATAATACATTAATTCTTCTGCTTCCCTTTCACGGTTAAATGTTGTAAAACTATACTTATACAAACATGCGGTGTATCTGTGTATTCCACTCGATGAAATCTAATAAAAAAACCTTAATTTTTTATGTTTGAAGAATATAAAATGAGTTATAACGACACTCGGATGTATCTGTAAACATATATTTTTTTTTTAAACTGTAATCATATGTCCTTTATAATGAAATGATTTCGAAAGCATTCCCCATTTTAGTTTACGGTATAAGCTGATTTCCAAAGTACACCTGTATGAAGAAAAAACATAAAATAAGTGGAATGCAATCTCAGTTAGGTACAAACATTGAGTTATTTAAAAAATAAAAAAGAGCAAAACTCAAAAGTCCAGCGAAACTCCATGATTATACTAGATAAAGGGATGGATGAATGATATATACTCTATTGGTACCTTTTTTAAACATGAAGGAATGTACCTTTGCTCATAAAAAAAAAACGATTCTCAGTAAAATGGGTTGGTTGGTTCAGTTTATATTTCTATAGAAGATTTTTATAATAGAATTTATTCAATAAGGTACTCGTAAGTTGAATTTTTAATATTCTATTTTTCATAAAAAAAAAAGAAAACATTTAAAATACAAGAAAATCAAAAATTTTAAGTATCTATAACCAGCATAAATTTCATTAAAATATTTCGAGAACTATGAAATGTCTATAAATTGCTAATATACATAAGTACTTGGTAAATATTTTGATTCGCTACGATTAATATTTATAGAATAAAAACTAAACATAAGTTATATTAATATAAATTATTAATTCTTTGAAATATAAGAAATATATAAAAAAATGAATGGAAAGTTATTAATGCTTTAGTACTTTAAAGTATAACAAAATGAAATTTTAATACTGACATTGGAGATATCTATCTTTTTATTTCAACACAATTTGGCTCATATATTAAGTAAGTAGCAATTACTTTATTTTTGTCAATTTTAGATTAAATCGAAAAAAAATGTATTATCTAAAATTGAGATGGTATCTGTAACTTCGATATTGCCATCTAAAGATTCCTCAACTGATTGTTGTATTGAAATGATAAAACTATCAGTATGTATATTCAAGAAATTATTATTGAAATAAATTGGTACTTATTTGAAATTAAATCAAACACTTCGTTATTACACAACTATACAAACTCTATACTTCTAAGACACCTAACGTGTAAACACGAAAAAACTAATCATAAGATAATCTTCATAGTTAATGAAGTCAAAAGTACATTGGAAAAAAAAAACACTTTTCCAATTTTTAAATAATTTGTGTAACGGAAGATTAAAAAGGAATATTTTATATTTATATGGCACATATCCCATATACTTAGGTATAGAATTTTGTATAAAGTTCAATATTGTTTGAAAACTATTTGAATATATTTTTATTAAAATATCTACTAGTTTTAATATTACTTAAATAATTATAATAAAATAATTGGAATAGCTTTATATTTGAATAATTTGAATACAAATTTATTCGAATAATTATCAAGATAAAATTGTACCCAACATAACAGTGAACTTCTTGTTTTGTTTACTTTTGGCTACATGAACCATGAAAAGAATTTTCTCCCAAACGAATGTCACTTGATGAATATAATTTTTTCTAACAAATTTATCATTAAAGAGTTATGCTCTCACTAAAAATATTGTTTTAAAGGAAAATATTCAGAGTTTCATAATCTACAGTCATTGGACGAAAAATTATTAAAAAAAAAGAGATGTATATTGAAAACAATGTGAAAAGAAAAAATTATTAAAATAATAATCCTCGATATCTTCAGCAAACATTAAGTGAAATAACAATAAAATTAAATAAATGCAAAACAATTTTTAAATTAAAGCAATTCTTCGTTTTAATTTCATTAGTATTACAATAACAGCATTTTTTCTGATAATACTATATTTGTCAGTCAACTAACGATAAAGATAATTCCTAACATTTGAGTTATTTTATTAAAGAAGCAAATAAATAAATATTTCAATTACTAATTTATTTTTTTATCTTAAAAAAAAAACCTTCGGCAGTAGTGGCCATTGAGTATCATTAATATGATTACAATGAATTTAAATAAATATAAATAAATATAAGTATATGACACAAATTAATGAAAAAAAACGTATGAAATTGGTGCTTATATTTTGTTTGTAAGAACTGCTGTGATGATAAATTTGATTGTGCTAAAGAATGGATTAAGATGCTGGTTGAGAGCTGTAGTGATTGATTCTGTGGGAGTTCGTTACCGTTAATGTTTGAATGACCAGAAATCCAGAATATTTTAATCTTAAAGTTATTTTTATGGTAGTTATGTATACATGCACGCCCGCGGAGGGGACAAAGGCGCCATTGCCCCTACTGGGAATTTTTGTTTTAAAACTATTGTTAATTTAATACCATGCATATTAATTATAATATAATTTTATTGAGATCCATTTATGAAGTTTAGTAAAATTTATTACCTACATTTTTAGATAATCTATAATGTATAGGTAATCTTGAACGTATTTATTAGTATTTATTGTTTACACATGACTGCATATCGCTTAAAACAATAAATTCTCCCGAGTACCGATCTCTATGCTATTTGATTTTGTTCACATCTATTTTTAGATACACGTTGATTTAGCCTTTTATTTTTAAATAAAAATGTATTTAAATTTTATTTGAATTTTAATCTTGCCCCGGATGGGATTTCATCCTGCGGGCGCGCTTGTATGCATATAATTTTGAATGTGGGTGCTGATATCTGACGTTGTATGGGTATTTTTAACGTTGTTGATTGCGCTGAGCAAATCTGTATATATGATATGTCTTTGAAGTTGTAATTATTTATAATGTGAAGAGCCATAAGGGTTGCTATGTATTCTGCGGCGAATATGTGCAAGAATTTGGAAGTTTAAACATGACCTCGGACTCGTTCCATATAATACCACTACCAATACCTATTTTATATGTATATATTGGGAATATTGACTATTATCTTTTTTCCCCGTACCTCTTTAAATAAATCAGATGGTATCTTTACATCCTCATATTACTCCGGATTAACGTGAACTCACATCTATGAACAACAACTACGAATGCTTTATTATGATTTCTATATTTATTCAGAATTTAATAAATAATAACCAAATAGTCTTTTGCGTCTCGATAAATTCACAGGTAAAGCTTGGACGACTCATATAAACAGTAGTTCAATTTAATGGTCTCTCAAAAGTGTTAGTTTTTAGCAGGCCCGTTGTAAGATATTTTCCGCCCTAAAGCGAACATTTTAATGCTGATCATTAAATAATTACATGCATAATATTGCAATTAAAGTTTTTTATAGATGTGTTGATTTACAAATTAGAGATACGCAAAACCATAAATATCTATACAACTTTAAAAAGTAGAATAATACACGAGACTATATTATACATACTGTTAGTATTTATTATAAAAAAAAAATACAATTAAGAAAAATATTTATAATTACAATAATAAGAATGTTTTAAAATTATAAATTAACTTTTCTTGCCTTTTTTGTTGCAAAATCTTGTACTAAATTTTCCAAGTTTAATTCTTGCGCCAATTCTGCTTCAATGGATAAAATTGATAATTCAGTTAAACTTTCGTTACTCATTGTTAATCTTAAATGATTTTTTACAAGTTTCATTTTAAAGAAACTTTTTTCAACAGACGCTACCATCACTGGAATTGGAAGAATAATTCTTAATCTTATTGCAATATTAGGATAAATTTCCTGAAGTTGATGACTGTAGATATATTCAAGATTTTTACTTGGAGAACTATTTGATTTTGCTAGTAAACAAAATAATTTAATTTCTTCAAATAATTCAATGGCATTATTATCAGAAGTATCATTTGATGATAGTAATATCTCTAAATCTTTGCAATGCTTTAGTATGATTTCATGCTCCCAAGATCTTAAAATATTTATATCATACAAGAAACCAAAGTTATACCAATGATTATTTAACTGGATAAACCTATCTTGTAACGAATTTATAGCAGTATCTATTACAGTATTGAAGAAGTCTACTTCAAATTTTTTCTTTGGGTTATAAAGAGGATAATCATCTTTATTTTCATAGTTGAAATTAGTTTTCTTGAATTTTTTACGCACTTGATGGTCTTGAAGGAATTCCTCCAATATTCATATGACTTATGCAATTTCTTTAGCAGTTAATTTAACTTTAAAAAATCCATTCATTCGATATTCTTTTAAAAACACAATTATTTCAAATATACTTTTAACAGAAATTTGTATATCAAATTGGATTGGCTATAGTTGTTTGCTTACAAGGTTAACAATACTCAATATATCATACCCAATAATAATGGAAAATATAAATGTAAAATCACATACATTTTTCAAAAGAACGTATGTATCTGCTTTTGTTTGAAGACCATGCGTTCCAGTTAAGTTTATATCATCTTTAATAAAATTCAAAGCATTGTAAATTTCTTCAAATTGATATCGTATTGGCCTTATCGCATTAATCCTCGACTCCCAACACGTGTCACAAACTTTCTTCAATGTTAATTTGGGTAAAAATTTAATCAGAATTTTCCATTTCTCAGTAGACGCCGAAAAAACACATACAGTTGTTGTACTATATTAAAAAATGAGACTGTGTAAATATTATATTTCGTTGCATCATTAACTACCAAATTTAAAGAATGAGAATTGCATGGTACATAAAATGCTCTAGGATTAATGTCAAGTATGCTTTTTTGAACTCCGTTATGTTCTCCTCTCATATTGGAATCAATATAGTAGCTCTGACCACGCATATCATTTATATCTATCTTCAAATCTGAAAGCATTTTAATTATTTAGTCACTTAAACCAGTCCCGGTTTTATCAAAAACTTCAATAAATCCAATAAAATACTCGTGTACAACTCCTTTTGAAATACAAACATATTGTAATATTGTTCCTTTTAACTACAGTCAGGAGTACAATCTAAAATAATGGAATAATACTTTGCATCTTTCACTCGACTCAAAATGTTATTTTTAATTTTTTCACTTATTAAATTAATTAATTCATTTTGAATTTGAGGTCCTAAATAATGTACATGTAAGTGTTTATTTTGAATCCTTTCTACGTGAGTTTTCAAAACATTATCAAATAGCGAAGACAATTCAATAATTTTCAAAAAAATTGCCATTATGTAGAGAATGTAAAGTAGACGATGTTCCACAAATCGAAAGATTTTGTGCAGCCATGCAACGTAATATAGCACACAACCGAATTAAAACGGACCTCCAATGTTTTATTTCCGATTCTATAATACGTTGATTTTGAGAATCAATAGTTTGATTTAGTTTTAATCTTAAAACCATTTCTTGCCAATTTGAAATATGAAGAATATGTTTTTTTTGATGTTTCATGTATTTTTAAATGACCCGACAAATTTCTCCAATCATTATAATCAAATTCAGAGACCACTCCTGAATCAGATTGTTTAGAACTAAACATTCTACAGCAAAAACAGTTCACAGTATCATTTTTTTTCGAATAAACCAACCAGGACCTTTCTAATTGTTCTCCATTATGCAAAGTGCGTTGATAATACGCGCTAAAAAATTTTCTATTCAATAGGTTTTTTCGGAAAATCAAAATTTTTTATTTACATAGGTCCTTTTTTTATGAATAATATTCGAATGGAGTCGGTTAATTTTAGTGGCTAGTCACTTGGGTCATCTGATATTACTGCAAAATTTTCAACACTATTTGTTTCCATAACGTTCTTATCCGAAATATAGTCAATTCCTTCATAATCAAATGAATCAGAATCAATATAACCTCTAACAAAATTAAAAAATAAATCTACTTTTATTCTTTATTAAGAGCTATCAGATATTCCATGAGAAATGGATGGTAAACAGTTCAAATTGTAATTTGATTGTGTGTCCTGACTCGAAGTTACAGTTAATCCATAAGTAGTTGTAATTTGTGAACTATCATTATTAACTTATTGAATGTCATCCATAGGTTGGTTCAATAAAAATTTAGTGAAGCTCCCTGTTTGTTGATAAAATTTTGTTTATTTTCTTATATTTTTTTTATATTCAGCACCAGAAAGTCGTTTTCGTGACAATATGATCAATGTGCAATTATGTTATAAGTTTATAACAATATTGAATTATCTAATTAATTATAGTAGTATACAAGTTTTTAGAAGACACAAAACATTTCAACACGTCTAGCAGCTTATACAAATATATATGAGTTATTAATTTTAAAAAATATGTATAATTTACGAAGTATAAATAAAATAAGATATATCGCGAATAATAATAAACAATCGCGGATCTAGAACTAATCTAATTGAAAAAAATTATAATAATTACCGATTATTTTTTTGTTTCAACGTCGTCGTAGACCGTAGACCATAGAGTATAAACCATAGTACTTCACCGACGACCGATGGTTGGAAAATAAAATATGGTATTATTAAAATAAAAGACTACAATCATACTCGGTAAATGTATAACATAAAAATAAATATATTAACGTTTATGTTATGAGAATATCAGTGTTTTATTTTGATCGAAAACCATCGATGGTCAATATGGTCATACGAGCTACGATCTACATGTACGATATATCTACATACATTATACGTATACTATAATATATATTTATCGGTTATCGATATACAGTATACACTATACACTATTACACTATACTTCTTACACATTGTGATCATACGCTATCATAACGAGATAGCAAAACTTTTACGATAATAATTAACAATGAAAACGCAAAATAATAATTAAATTTCTGTCTTTTTTGAAAATTTAATATTACGATTTGCCCCCTCAATTTCTTTAAAATGTTATGCCACCCTAAAACAACGCATGGTTTGCTTGTACCCTAGCGACGGGCCTGGTCTTCAGAATAGAACAAATACAACAAAATTATCGAATTAAAAATGATAATATAAGATTTGCTATAAATGTACTGGTGTTTTTTTTTATTTGTGTTTTTTCGCGTTTGTATACCATAAGGTATCTCAGTGACTTTATTATGATATAATGTTATAAAATCTTAAATTATACAGTACATACGAAATGTGATCAAATATAACAATTATATTTTTGATTTATTTAGACTTTCAGTTAACACAACGGATATATTGGTAATATTTTATCACTTACTTGAATTATCATTCATTTGACACTTGTAAACATAAATTATATTCATTTAATCGGATTTTGTACATATGTCAGAATAAAAATAATACATTTACAGGGTTCTTATCGTTCAAATAATCATTTTCGCTATAATGAGTTGATATACCTCACTTGACAACGGGTTCTTAAATAATATGCATTTAAAACATAAGTGTACGGTAATAATGATCAAAGTTTTCCTCTTGCTGAAATATACAAACTACAACCTTATAAATTTAACTTCGATCTATTATACTTGTATTTATAAGGAAATACTAAATACATATTGGGCAGAAATAATAATGAACATATTTCCACTGCGACGGCAAACAGAACACTTGAGAGCACTGAGCCCGTGTGGCCTGAACTGCAATTTATGTATGGAGTGTAATATAGTATCATAATTTAAAAAAAAAAAAATCAAGTTATATAAGCATAATATTGCGTTTACGATAAATATACTTGGTTGTATTATGCAATATATATATATATATATTTGTGAGTGTTCCTGAGTGCTCAAAACATCGAAAAAGAAACTTTACAAGGAATTTTTACCATTTAAACCGTAACTTGCACGCCGTTCGTTAAGGCCAAAATCACACTCTGTGTATACCAAACATCACTCACCTATAATCACTAGTACATAACTACAGATTTATGAGGATAACACGTCATGAATATATACGACATAATGAATATTATATATTATATTAAAAATCATATTTATACGAACTATTTTAATAAAATTTATCTGTTCTCAGGGAAAAGAGGAAATTCTTTAGTTAAATAACTTACACAACACGAAATTGTGCAGTTCAAATTTAAAATTAACGAAAAATTAAGACATAGGTATATTATAATACTTTTGCAAAACTCTAAATTATATACTAATTAAATACAAGTATAAATTGCATTGGGTTGATTGTTTTATGGCAAGAGTCGGGTAAAGTCATCTAAATTGTATTTTTAATGAAACTATTGAGTTAGTTAACTCTTACAATAAAACAATCATTCCAATGCATTTTTACTAAATAATTTTTTTTAGAAAATTTTATTTCTTATCATTCTTACATGAGATATTTTGTCGTTTCATCAACCATTTTATTCTGTTATACTTAAAAAATCCATAAAAAAAATTATTTTTTTAAAATAAATTAAATAATTGTTATTTTTGTTATTTTATAATTTTTTATATAAAATAACAGATTTATAAAAAATTGTATACATATTATGTTTTTTATTAAATATATAAATATCTATAATTTAAGTTATTTATAATTCAATAACTATCATAATAATATATAATATATATCAGAAGTGGCCAAACTTTTTTTGGCCACGATCTACTGAAAATATACTTTAGCTTTGAAAATCCACTTTCTTGGAAATTTTTTTTATAAACCAGAATAAAATATAAAAGCTTTACAGGTAAAACTTATTGACAATTTGTTCATAACCACTACGATTAATTTTTGTGCACGTGGCCTAAAAATAAATTCTATTATGATCGACTCTGAAATCGTCCGCGATCGACCGTTTGGCCGCCCCTGATATATATATATATATATAATATATCAAATAATTATCTATAATTTAAGTTATGTACATTTTTACGATAAGTTTAATAATTTATTAATTATGTAAAAAAAAAAGATAAACCAACTCTATTTTGCAATTGTTCGATCCCCTAGCAGCACGTGAAGGGAGTTAGTAATCATGACCAAAGAGAAAGAGAAATATTCAAAATTGTCCAAAATATATAAAAAACACGATTAATCAGAATAATTAATGTAAAATATGAATTAAATATATCAAATACAGAGTGCAGCAGAAAAATGTCCTTGATTTGTGAAACTTATGATAAAATCAAATCAAATCAAATATAAAAATAAATGTTTATAAATTTTACATATGATTACATTTTATTTTAATTATTTAAAAAAATTACATCACTTAAGTGACGACCCTCATTTTCAATACATTGATTAAGTATTTTTCGGTAGACGGGATTCTTAGGCATAAACAATACTTTGAATAAGTAATACATCATTGAACACGATAATATAAATATGCCATAATAATTAAACTTTTGATTTAAATAAAAAATGATTACTATTAATAATATTACATAATATTATTGATATACCATTTTTTTTGTTTTTCTTCCTGCAAATATATCGATGGTATCAGTATATATGAGGAAATTGTGAAAACTATATTTGGCACTTATAAGATATCATTATATATAACATATGCTGTGCTAGAGCACTTATTAAACAGCTTTTAGTAAATTTCTAATATGGTAATCATGATTGTAATTACCTCTACTACATTAGTAAATGAACCAAAAACATTTTTAAAAACGCCAATGCCTTTAAAGGTCTTACATTTTTTATTCATATACATGTTGGAGAATAAAATTTTTATTGTGAGGTGAGATTGGTATATTTATGCGAAGCGCCCCACGCATTGAAGATGAAGGTGACTCCGAAGCAATAGAGCGAATATAAATTGAATCTAACAAACTATAGAACATTGTTCTTCTTCACTATTTAAATAGAATTTTAACATGGATGTTCGAATAAAGTAGAAAATAATTATCCGATGGAAAATTTTAAATTTATGACATATAAAATGTTGCTTGTCACCAAGAAAATCAAATGCTTGTTAAAGAATATCGGGACAACACAATACCAGCAATCAAATATACATTTTTTCTTACACAAGTTTATAAAAACTAAATTTCTGTTTATTTTTCATCTTGTATCTGTATGAATTATGAACATTTTTTAACTTATCAATGCATTGTTAAACCATTTACATGATATTTTATGGATTCAATATAAATAATCGAATCAAACAAAACTCCACATCGGTTATTCATCGAAAATATATTTTTAGATACTGTTCACCTACGTTGAAATGTATTGATTATTGCGGGTGATAGACTGAGGATATTAATCAAAGTAAAATAATTCAAGTTATTAAGAAAAACATAATGTACGATATAAATTTGAACATATAATCAAACCGTTGTTTAGAGTTAGAAATATTTGAAGTAGTAATGATCTCGTAAATGGAAATAAAGAATAGTATATATTATATTTATATTATACTACGAAAAAATATTATTTTGATGACAAATAATATTCAGTTCAGTTATTCTTTAGATTATCCAGTTTAATAGATCTATGAGTTCATCGTCCAAGGATAGATCAAAGAACGGAATTTGGCTGGAGTGCCTAACTTTCTTTATGGGCATCAGTGGCGGATCCACGGGAGGGGTTTTGGGGGTTAAACCCCCCCCCAATATCACGAAAAATATATATTAAAAATCAATAATTTTATGAATGAAGAAAAAGATTTTTTTTTTTTTTAAAGTATAAGGCAAAGTATATAAATTTTTTTTTTATTCGTACAAGAAGTAAGTTGTCTTAGATTTAAATAAATGTATTATACTGCTGACTATTATCTTAATTAAATTATTTCATACACTTAAATAAAATTTTACAATAAAATTAAAAGTTTTGAATTAAATTTTTCTTGTTTTTTTGAAAAATTCTTCAAAAACCTCATCAACTGATACATTAATATCTTTATGAATATTCATAGAAGCTAGACCATTGAGCCTTTCTTGACCTGTTGTATTTTGCAGATAGGTTTTGATTCTTTTTAAACATGAGAAACTTCGTTCAGGCGTAGCTATTGAAACGGGCAAGATTGCCATTATACGTAAAATTTTGAAAACATTGCCAAAAGACGAATGTGCACTACTGCATTAAAAAGTAAAAACCCTTGATCAGTCACTAACCGCAATATTATAAATAATATCCAAAGTCCCAAAGAAAACAATTTTCAAACCCCTCCCCCCATAAAAAAATCCTGGATCCGCCTCTGCTGGGCATTATTTTGAATCATAGCAGTCTGAATAATTTTCACCTAAATGAGATATTATAATAATGCTCCACACAAATTAAAATACAACTATATAAGGTGATTATTTCATGTTACATACAATTGTTGACGCAAGTATGAGATTATATTTTGAAATATTTACGATCTCAAAATATAATAAATTTAGGACTAACGAGGTAAAAACGTAAACAAGGTTGGACACGTGTGTACAATTCAATAGTATGCGTATGGTATTTATATATATGCATGTGTGTGCATCCGCGTGTACGTGCGTGTGTATGTGTTTATCTAAATAGCGTAGAGTAACATTATTTAGACACACATGGTTAAACACATGGTATACACTGTACACCATGTGTTGAAAATTATAAGTATTTTTAATTTCAAAAAATATCGAAAGCATATTGAGTTACGGCAATTAAGTGATTGCAATATATTAAATGACAAATGATGATTTTTTTTTCGTTAAACTCTGTAGTTAAATGCCGTTGTTGTGATCGAATGATAAATAATTTTAATACGAATCTTTAAAACATTAAAATAGCGTTACTAGAAATATATTATAGATTAATATTTGAAAGTAACAGAACACTTGGAACTAGAAACATGT